TTGAATTAAAAGGACCTAAATTAGCTAAACAAATTTTAATCTTAATATCAGAACAATATATGATTCATTGCACATAATTACCAATCATGTGACTACCAAAAAGGACATCAGTATTATAGGGTTATAAACAAATTCGTGAAGATTTCGTGGAACCCTGTATCGGGCCTGCGATTGCTGTCAGTATAAAACTGTAATGTTGACTGCTAAAAGCTCACTCCATTATCAGTAGAATATAGGGGGAACTAGAGCTGTCTGCATAGCAAGACTAATATCTCCCGTACATGCATTTAGTTGCTGCTGAGAAATGCAGTATTGAGACAATGAAATTTTGAGATTTTTGGCTTTTAGCATAGTGGTCAAGGGTCTAGTTCATTGTCAGAGTTACCTGTGACACATCCCGATCCCATGATGCTTCTTCATACACAGTTTTGTTGATCTCAGTGCTACAGGACACAAGTAATGCACCATACACACAAACAGGACACAAGTAATGCACCATACACACAAAACAGGCAATGCTTTTATATCAAAGGTTCAAAGATCAACGTCAAGGTTAGTGTAAAGATTCTGCATACAAAGTTCTGTTAATCTAAGTGCCACAGTACAAACTTTATGCACCAAACACAAATCAGACAATGTTTTACAATCAAAGGTCTAAGTCGACGACTGAGTGACGTGACTTTGCTATATATATGGACACACCCTCATCACATGATGCATCAGCATACCAAGTTTGGACAATTTAAGATCTAGTTTACAAAACGTGGCACAGATCAGACTAGGTTTTAGTTTCAAAGGTCAAAGTCAAGGTCAGATTTACCTGATTTTGGTATATGACACACCCTCAGCCCATGATGAAACTGCACAATCATGCATCATCAGTACCAAGATTGGTTAACCCAAGTTTTACGGTATAAAGGTTATGCACCGGATATGCAACTAGACGGACGGACGGACAGTACGACAGGCGGACAGACTGATAAGGTGATTCCTTATACCGTCAAGATTTTGTTTAGGGATGTATAAGGAAAGCATTCTTCAGACGCTATTTATTGAAAATGAAGACAATTTTGTCTGATTAACGTATTTTTCCATGAACATTAAAACAAATATTGTTGTCGCAAAAAAATATCCCAATCCTATTTATATGCAAATAAGACATACTGCAAAAACATGATTAAGTCTAACAAACTTTTAATACATTTCTCTGACGGTTTGACAAACTTTTGATGTTAACAATCTTTCACCTCTGACTGTATCTAAATGTTAAATACAATGTCATTTACACCCGTTTATAAGTAAAATACAGAATTTTTTGTTTCTGTACATGTTTCGAAAAAATAAAAACGCCATGAAGTTTTAAAAACATTTTATTTCTGTTAATCTTTAACCTTAGACTGTATCTTTAAGTTTATTGAAAAAAAATAAGTCAATTTAGCAGTAATAAACGGAAAAGTGAAGAAAAAGGGTGTTATCTAAATGAGAACTGTCAAAAATCCATTGAGCATTAAACTACGAAAAATCAAAAAAATTAAAAATTTTGATTTAGATACATTCTTTTGATGATGACAAAGAGTCTGTCCAAGTTACATAGAAATTCAATGAAGGTTTGACAACGTTATTGGAGTCTACAAAAACTTAAACCCTCAATAAGTTTAAGTCACATAGCTTGTTTTCAAGCTACAGGTTATGAAAAATGTATCCATTGTAAGTATTATAAAGGGAAAGGCTTAATTGAGTGAATAAAAAAAATTAAATTTCAAAATTTTTAGATAAAATTTAAAGATCAGAAGATGAGGTCACTGTCCTTTTTTTCTTGCTTTAATAGAAAAAAATAAGAAAAAAATGCTGTACATTTCTTTATGATATAAGATTATCTAAGTTATCTCCGATTTAAGTATAAAAATAAAGAGATGTGGTATAATTGCCAATAAGACAAAGATAAGGAAATGTGGTATGAGACAACTGTCCACCAGAGTTCAACAATGAGAAAAATTCATACCGTATACGGCGTATAGTCGGCTATAAAAGGCCCCGACATGGAAAATGGGGAAAAAATCAAACGAGAAAATCAACGGCTTTATCTGAGAAAAAAAAAAACAATTTACGAAAAACAAATATGACAGACATGAACCAATATCAACCACTGAGCTACAGGCTGCTAACTTGGGACAGGCGCATAAAGTGTACGTTTAAAAATCAAGAATCAATGATGAAATATTCTGTAGTCGTAAAAACAATCCTAACAATATGATTAAATAACATTACTTTCCCCATTTGAGTGAAAATCTTACAAATGAATAGCATTCCTGTCTCAAAATTTGCTTATTTCATTAAAAAAAACTGTTGACACAGATATTTGGCTTTTCTTTATGGAATTTTGATAGTATAATGTAATTGGCAATATTTAACATGTTAGCTATGCAAAATATTTAGTCAATGAACCAAATGTAAAGGTGCATTGCCAAAATAACCTCCATGGAAATGAGAAGTGCCAATACTACTGCATACCAATTACCATTGTCTTTGTCTTGTCCCTTTAAACTAACCTTAACACAAACTTTACCATATATACAATGCAAACTGAATTTCAAAGTTAATGAACCATGATGATGGGGCTGGCTATATAATCTCAATGAAAATGAGACATGCAAATGATAATACAACTGCATACCAAATATCAATGAGGTACCATTATTGGTTCCCTTTAAGCTGACCCAATCACAAACTTTAAAAAAAAATTGGTGACACCACAGACCCGTACACATTACTTTGTTGAGGCAGGACAAACATCTTTATTGTTTTCGCTATTGAACTTTGCAGAAAGCAGAAGACTTCCATACTACCTTAATTCTGCTTTTAAGATATTATTATTTATGCATCATAGTCAAATAAACAAATAGAAATAATTTTTAAGATTTGTTTGAAAAACATGAGCCTTCATAACTGCAACTGCTTGAAATATATAAGTTACCTTAAATATATTTTCTTTAAATAAAATAGTTATCCCATAATTCCAAATGTGTATGATCAAACTGGTACTTCAGGTAAAAACGAATTATGAACATTGGAGTACTAGTATATATTTGAAAGTGTTTACCAGTTCTTTGTTAAGATTTTTAAATCTTTCTTCGACTGATAAATTAATAAAAATAGTTTGTATTACTGAAAATGCTAAATATCAAACTAGCACTGGTGGATTAGGATCGGCATACCCTTCCAGAGCACCTGAAATAACCATCATATTTTGGTGTGGTTGGTGTCCCTCAGTCTTTAGTTTTTTATGTAGTATTTTTTTTAATTTATTTTTCTGTGTACCGTTTTATGGACTTGGGTCTTTTCGTCGTCCTTTCTTATTTACCATGACATTGTCATCTCCTCGATTCATTAGTTTTGAATGTCCCCTTTGTATTTCCATCTCTTTTTTATGTACAGTCAATTCTCAGTATCTTGAAGAATACATTTCAGTCAAATGAAAATAACGACATGATGATACAAGATGTATTTTTAAAAGAAAAGAAAAAAAGTGTGATTATTTGGTTGTGTAACATGTTTAGTTCAAGAACTGTATCATTTTTTCCAACTTCCAAACATGAAAGTTGAAGTGCAACATTATTTCCAAGTGAACTACTAAACCACTTCAGAACTATACAAAGGGAGGACACTCTACCTTTATAATTAGTTACCAAAGGTACTAGGATTATAATTTAATACGCCAGACGCGCGTTTCGTCTACATAAGACTCATCAGTGACGCTCAGACCAAAATAGTTATAAAGCCAAACAAGTACAAAGTTGAAGAGCATTGAGGACCCAAAATTCAAAAAAGTTGTGCCAAATATAATATATAAGCTGTTGTATTCTTTACATTCCCAGCTATTTGAAACCAACGACTGAAAATTATTACTCGTTGCTTCTCTGCTAAAAACGTGGCATATAGGAGTAAGAGTAATAAAAGGTCGACTCAGAGCCAGAATAATATTTCCTGATATTGTGACATGTCTTCATACAGACTGTTACCTTGATAATAAGGACATATTGTCTCACTATGTCACTCTAGTAGAAAGCAGAGTCGATACTCAAATCACATTACCAATTTATTTTCCGATATGCATGAAATATTTGCCACTGTACGTTTAACACCAATCGGTCATCATCATTCAAATTTAACTGCAGCAACAAGGTAATGTTTACTTACCAATAAGCGTCATTTTTTGAGGTAACAGGGACACACAAAAATCTCGTTTTAGTTAGAAAGAACAGAAATATAGATGCAATTGTGACAAATGGAGACCACTTTTAATTTTGCCAACTTTTAGTATAACCATCAGCCTGTTTATGTCAAAAGTGTTGTTAAACCATTAAATTTTAGGATGATCAAAAACACTCTCAAGTCTTACATACATGTACAGGTAAGTTAGTCTTGGATACACATAAATGATAAAGAATAGTAACAATAGTAATGTATGGTGTATAATTCATGACACGAAATCCCTCAATACACATGACAAATTTCAAAGCAGAGAAACAGTGTCTTTCATTGCCGTTCCTTTTCTTAAAGTTCAGTGAGAACTTGAACAAGGAGCACAAACAAGCAAACTAGGTCATAGTGACCTACAATTGTTTACATCCTTGTCCTTTGGTCTCTTGTGGATAGTTATCTCATTGGCAATCATACCACATCTGGTTTTTTTTTTAATATTTTGCATGGTATTTACAAGCATTTTATGTATTACATACATCCCTATCATATTTCTTATTCAATCAAGAAATAAAAAGAGAAGGAAAATACAAAAGGGAGAATAAAAATTCAAAAAGAGACTGAGGCTGTTAGTTTTCTTCTCGTTTGAATTGTTTTAAATTTGTTATTTTGGGGCCTTTTATAGCTTTCTATTCGGTATGGGTATTGCTCATTATTGAAGGCCATACAGTACACTATAGTTTCTAATTTCTACGGCATTTAGTCTCTGGTGGAGAGTTGTCTCATTGGCAACTGTGGCATAGCCACTGGAAAATAAATTGTAAGCAGGGGGTCTGGGGGCGGCAGCCAAACAGACGCTGAACCATTACCGGTATAGTAAAATGTTTATTGAAAAAAAAAAAGTTTTATAAAATTATTTGTAAGCAAATGGTTACAATGCTACACTGGTGCTACATTACTGGGCAATAATACCACATCTTCTTATTTTTATATTGACAAAACCCTGGAAGCGTCAAAATGGCAAACAACATAAAATACTAAAGAGACTAAGCAAAACAAACATCATCAAATAATACAAAACTGATTTATAGCAAATAGATTTATTTCTGAAAACACCAAAATTGGTGGAACCTCGGTCTTCTTTATCATAACATAAATTGATCACACAGCACACAACTTCAATCATGGATAATCCTATAGGACCCATTCTAGGACATTCTTTCTGTTGATGAAGCATCTCCAGCATCCCCTATCTGTAACCATTTATTACAGTCACTTCATCTGTCCTTTTTATCTTCCTTGTCATATTTAAAGGCAAGTCCACTATTGGCCAGTTTATGTGCAACAAGTTTATTTATTTGATAGTTTGGTTCATCATCAAAATGTTTTCTCCATTCACCAATTCCATCTGAAAAAGAAATAAACTTTTATCACAGAGATATGTCTCGCCTTTTTGTAATTTTGATAATGCAAATGTTGAAATTAAAATTGCAATACTTTAACATGTAAGTAATGCAAATATTTAAAGTCGATGAACCATGACTGAAGGTTCATGGCTAAACAATCTCCATGGAATGAGATGTGCCAATGCTAATACAACTGCATACCAAATACCATTGACTTATTATAAGTTGTTCCCTTTAATCGAACCTAAACACAAACATTAACTTGTAAACTATGTAAAAGTTTCAAAGTCAATGAACCATGATCAGGAGTGGGGCTATATAATCTCCATCGAAACGATACTTGCAAATGCCAATAAATTTGCATACCAAATATCAATGACTTAACTTTAGCAGTTCATCTTAAACTGATCTAATCACAAACTAATACATGTAAACTAAGCAAAAGTTTCAAAGTAAATAGACCATGACTGAGGGGGCAGGGCCAATTATTCTCCATGGAAATGAGATGTGCTAATGCTTATACAACTGAACACAAATTAACATTGGCCTACCACTAATGGTTCCCCTTGAACTGACCTAATCAAAAACAAATACATGTAAACTAAGCAAAATTTTCAAAGTCTATAGACCATGACTAATGGGGCGGAGCCAAATAATCTCCATGGAAATGAGATATGCCCATGCTTATACAACTGCATACCAAATATCATTGACCTACCACTAGTGGTTCCCCATAAATTGACCTAATCACAAACTAATACATGTTAACTATGAAAAGTTTCAAAGTCAATAGACCTTGACTGAGGGGGCGGAGCCAAATAATCTCCATGGTAATGAGATGTGCCAATGCTAATACAACTGCATACCAAATATCATTGACCTACCACTAGTGGTTCACCATGAACTAGACCTAATCACAAACTAATACACTGTTGACGCCGCCGCCACCTGAAACAGCATACCTATGTCTCGCTTTTTGACTCCGTCAAGGCGAGACAAAAAACCAAATACCAACATCAAAGGATATTATCATAAACTCATCATAGATACTGGGATTTAAATTTTGTATTTACGCCAGACCCGCGTTTCGTCTACAAAAGACTCATCAGTGACGCTCGAATCTAAAAAAGGCCAAATAAAGTACGAAGTTGAAGAGCATTGAGGACCAAAATTCCTAAAAGTTTTGCCAAATACAGCTAAGATACTCTATTCCTGAGGATAATCTGTTCCTGAGGTAGAAAAGCCTTAGTATTTAAAAAATTCAAAGTTTTGTAAACAGTTAATTTATAATTTATGACCATATCAATGATAATTCTTGTCAGCACAGAAGTGCTGACTACTGGGCTAGTGATACCCTCGGGGAATAAAAACTCCACCAGCAACGGCATCGACCCAGTGGTTGTTGATAAACTCATATTGATACCAGGATTTAAATTTTGTATTTATGCCAGACGTGCGTTTCGTCTACAAAAGACTCATCAGTAACACTCAAATCCAAAAAAGTTCAAAAGGCCATCATACCACATCTTATTATTTTTTATCTGATTGGAATGATTCTGTGTCAATGCTTCTGTTCTTACAAGTATCTGACAATAATACGGTCTACTTTTTGTTCAAGCAAAGATTCCTTTCGGGATCCTCTGGTTTTGTCATAATGATGCACACCTTTAAAAATATGAAGGCTGAAAGTTCAATGGCTGATGTAATAAGGGAGCTACCATTTGATTTTTATGGGGGGGCTAGGATGAAATTTAAAAAAAAAAAAAGGCAGGACAGGAGTTTTGAGTAAAACAAATGGCAGGATGAGCAACTTGGCAAAAAAAAAAAAGACAGAATGACAAATTATGTAAAAAAAAGTCAGGATAAACTATTAAAAAAAAAGGCAGAACCGAATAGAGTAAAAAATAAAAAGGCAGGACAGAGATTACAACTAAAAAAAAATGCAGGACAAAATTTTTCATCCTAGCCCCCCCATAAAAATCAATGGTAGCTCCCGCATTACCACGCAAAAAGTAGAACAGTGTTATCAGATGCTTGTACTAAGCAAAGCGTCGACACAGTATCTGTATTCTAATAAAATTGTCTTATTTTTGTTATGAAAGAATATTAAACTATTGTATTGATCTTTACTACTACATTTTAACAGTTTAAAGAATTGTTTGAAAGAATGACAGCATAGGGATTAACATTTACATTGCATAAAAAATTGAGACTTTGCTATTTTACTTCCTTCACCCCTCATAAATGATTATATCAAAGATGTCAACACCCTTTTTTCAAGCAGAAATTACTATGAGATGTCAGAAATTTTGATTTTTACAGGAAAATTTTACCTAGACAGAGAATAATTTAATTATTGCTTTATTGACACTTTTTTGTAATTTTACTTTTCACAAGAACAGTTCTATTTTCTGTTCAAATATATTTTTAAGTACTTATACCAGTCAGGGATATAACTCTATAGGGTTATTACAGGAAATAACTTGCATGTGTTATTACAGATAATTTTATGAGTTGTCTACTCTTTAAACCTAAAATTTTCTAAATCTGTAATAACATATGTTTGTTATTTGTAAAATAAATCATCAACATTTTAATTTTTAGTGGGCTCTAGGGAACTCTGGAAACTTTGCGCAGAAACTAAATGCATAGCCTTGATAACTAATTTTTGATTAAATTAATACATTTATCATTAACCATGACAAATCAATGAGACAAGGCTTTTAAGTGATAAACTTAGCTGTAATAACAAGGCTTAGTTATTAAAGGCATGCAACTTATTATATGAGACACTTGGGATTTACTGGGAAACTTGCGCAGAACCTCATTACATGCTCTGGTTATTATTTCTTACAATGAATTAAAATAAATTGTAATTAAGCATGATGTATGTCTGAGCAAATGCTTTGGAGTGATATAGAGAAGCTGTAATAACACCCTTTAGTTATTACAGGCCAATTTTTTCTGTAATAACATAGGTGTACTATGAATGAGTGTCAAAATATGAACTGTTTTATCTTTTCTATAGTTAAGTATACATAAAGACAATAGTAATATCAATAGAACTTGTATACATTTTAACAAAACTAATGATGTGTATTGTCCCTTTGAAACATGTAACATACATATGTTATCACAGGTCTTTGATTTTTTAGTCAACAATAACAAAAATATGTTATTTTTCTCTAATAACCCTATAGAGTTATATCCTTGACTGTATATTATGCATCTTAGTCAAGCAAAATTGACCTTTGACTTTTTTGTGTGTTTCGATAAGCCTGTTTGTTTTAATATACTCTCAATCATTTTATATTTTTGGCTTTTCAAATTTTTTATAAACAACGTTTTTCAAAAAACATATGTATGGTGCACAAATGAGCATAAACATTTCAATAATACATATGTAGATATAGATTTCGGTTAGTTCCCTGTAACTGTCACATTATTTAGAACCCATTTAATTATAGAATAACTAATCAAAGACTTCAAATAGAGAAAAAATATTCGACGAGTGACCAAGCAACACATTAATTCACAAATGCGCGTAGTGCATGAGTTAATTATCAGTGGAACAACTGTTGTTCGGTCACGAGTTGAGAATATTTTTCGATATTTGAATTCTTTGATTAGTTATTCTTTTCATTACATTGACAATGTACTTTTTAATGGAATTAAAGTAGAAAATGCAAGGTACTATATCTTTTTCTGTGAATTCACTATTTACTTTGATGTAACGTCATTGACAACGTCTTGAGAGCACCTATTGTTGTATGACGTCAGAGGAGTGAAATTATCGAAATTATTGCACATGTGAAATTATCGGTTTTTATTTCACTGGGAAATCACAGTAATTCTTTGCAGCCAGTGTAATAAATTCCAATTATGATCAACTATCAATCAAGGTAGGATATCAAAAGTGGAAAAAATCTATTTTTGATAAATCCCAATCTTGCTTTATAAAAAAATGTTCACCTTTCATGATATTAGGTTGTTCATTATCTCCTTCTCCTAGATGCCATTTATAGCTGACTTGTTTATTGTTTTTCATGTTTTCTGGACTACAATGACTTAATAAGGTGTTAAGATCATTATTAGTCAATTCTTTGTCAAGGAACTTTGATATCTTCCTTATACTGCCTTCCATGTCCTGAAATCAAAAACCAATAATATTTGTGTTTAACTTATAAAAATAATTTCAAAAAACATGATATGGTTGCTGGGTAAAAATGGATAATTTTTCAATGTCCATTCCATGCTACCCATAGGCCAGACAGCAAATAGGCTGTCTGCTGAAAATGATTATGAATGATTGATCATTGTTTGTTTGTTGATAAGGGCGTTGAGTATGAATGGTTGACTATTTTTTGGCCAAATGCAAGGTGTTTGTTACTTCGAACATATCTTCACATGTAACAGAACATTTGGAATATCTCTACACTTATATATAATTACCTCACACAAGTCTTCATATGTTATAAACAGAACATTTGGATCATCTCTGATTTTCCAGAATTTCAGTACATGTTGCCACCATGGAGCATATCCCACTTTAAAAGAAAACTACTCTCACTTACTCATATATTATTTTTTCTTATTAGATAGACAATATTTTACCAGAAAAGTTATAAGTTACTTTACAAGTATAATTATATTACCAATAAAAGTTTAAAATCAGTTTAAAAGATCAGTCTTTTCCATAGATATATCTTTATCTAAAATGGAAAACAAACGATATCACTGCTGTAAATTTGTGTGAATTCATAAAGGGGCGTTAAAGGGGGGTATCTGCACGGAAGAACGCGAAATAAAATTGCCATTTCACGATGAACGAACAATTAAAAATTTCTTGCACGTTGATCTTTATACCGATTTCACGAAACACAGTGAATAACGAACCTTTTTCACGGCTGCACGTGAAATAAAAATTGCAAAACACGTTGCACAAAAATAACCCTTTACCACCCTCTTCATAGGATGAGATATAATAATTTTGAAGTCAGTTTTTGGTCTGAAATATGGAAATATTTTTTTTAATATTCTTAAAAATTTCTCTTTACATTCATGTAACATATGATACTTATTGAACCACTATCCATGTCAACATCCCATCTAGTCTGGCTGATGTTAAAACAATAAATATAAACAATATTTGTACTTAGCACTAAGGTAAAAGAATGTATAATATCATTATGACATCCCTACCACTTATTCGGAAACTACTGTATCACACATGTCACAAGGGATTATTCTTGAAAGTTTCTTTTGAATAAAAAAACAAACACAAGAACATAGGAGAGCATAAATGCCCTGTTGCTCACATCAGAAGTACCTGTTTTTGTACTACCAAACTTCTGGGAACCAGAGAGCTAGCCCTTATATGCAATCAAATGTAAGCTGGATTTTTAGCACAAGTCAGAATAAGGTATAGTTTTGACATGAAACAACTGCCACTTTATTTGAACTGAAGACAAAATTGAAGAATTTGACATTTAAAGCAATGGGGCTATAGCTATGAATTAGTGGTTTTATGTATATATGGCCTTCTTTAAGCATGTTTAGTGAAAATATTTTTTTAAAGTTTAACTGACTGTACCTCTATTACTGATAAAAGCTTTCACAAATGAGTTAAAGCTCTTGTTGAAAGTCTTCAGCTGCTTACAGAAATGGTAATAAGAAACTACAGTGTCTTTAGGATTTCTGGCAACATATATCACCTATAATTAATATAAAAAAACACATAAAATTTTCCAGAAATTACAACACAATTTACATTATCATACGAAAATCAATTACTATAGTATACTATATATAAGCTCTGAGTGGGGTTCATCACACATTGGCAGATACAGGGGGTGTTCCGGTTGGAACAGCGCTTTTTTTTAATTTTTTTTTAATTTTGTGAATGTTTCTTGGTGTTCCAGGGGTTGGAACCCCCCTTTTCCAAATGGCTGGATCAGCACCTGCCACACCTATTATAAGTAATTTTATTTCTTATATAAAATGTTTAAAATACCATTAAAAGTTAAATATCTCAATACTTTGGTCGCTGTCATTTGACTGTATGGTTCTCAAAGTTGGCAAAAAACATACAAAAAGCAAAGGAACAGCACTTTTATTGCTATTGTCTTTAATTTTTGACAGATACTTCATCTAGCTTAATTTCAGGCTGGAAATATGCTAATCCATTACAGAGAGAATGGAAAGCAAAGGTAAACAGTAAAGTTCTGCAGATAATTAATTTTCAATGTAATATTTAAACATGGTGTAAAAATCAGGATTACCTTGATATTAGACTCTGTAAGATATGTGTAGATAATAATTTTTGCCTTCAATGCCATCTTAATCTATTAAAAGAATTAACTAGGAGCAACTACAAGCAAACAAAACAATGTAGATGCATATACATATAGATTCTTACATAAGTACAAGTGGATTCTCAGATTTATCCAATTGAGATAGTTAAAATTCAATAATTGAACTAACTAGATTGGATAAATCGGATAATCCACTAGTAACTTTGTAAGAATCTGTGGCTCTTTTCACAAAAAATCTTAAGAGTAAAAATACTCGTAAGTCATACACCTTTCAGTATAACTTACGATCAATTTTAATCATAAGATTTTTTGTGAAAAGAGTCGCTGTTTCTCTAATGATTATAAAATAAATTTTCATTTTGATAAATGAAAATCCCCTTTGAGTGCTTTCCACATTCTGGATTTCTACGTTATTAGTTGTGGTCATACAAATGTAAAAAATGTCAATTTCTCTAATACCTGTTAGCACATTTAGATTCTACCAGAAAACTGATAAAGGTTGTATGTGACATTATATCTTACCCAATCATCTACTGAGATCATCGTCAACCACATGTTGGTTAAATTTTTTTAAACAAATTTAATTGGGTCCAGAAAGGGTTAAATTACCAAAGAATAAGGGAAACACGTCTCAATGTGTACTTTAACTACCTTCATGTTCAAATGAAACAAAAGTAAATGTGTTAACCTTTGATTTCCTAATTTCCTCTGGTAATAATTTCAATGGTAAGTGTGTCTTGATCAGTCTTGGCGATGGTAAATTAGCTATAGCATCAAGTCCTGGTGTTAGGTATTCCAGGTATGGAAATCTGTCGTCAATAGAAACAGTTTTGGCTTTTACTAAATCCATGTTTGAATTTATCAAAAATACTACTTCATGTATCCATTCTGTTTCTGCAAAATTAATAAATTGATCACAATTGTTCATAAATATGTTAAGTTTTCTGGACATTTTGCAATTTGTTCAATCTTTCCTTAAGGCTCAGTTTATGTATATTCAGGTTTAAGTTTAATAACCATTGCTACATGTACTGTTATGGTTGCGGCCTATTATCTATTTCTTGCATGAAGAGATATTTCATGTGTCACACCATACACACTGCACAGAGAGTGATACGAAAAAAAGTGATAGAAAATATGTGTTAATTTGATTGGCATATCCAGCATCATGAGACAAAATTACAACATTTCCATTGGCTATTCATAGCTTATAAGGTCATTTATGACTTCAAAGGTTAAGATGATGTACCTTTTGTCCATGGTAGCGGACATACTGTACATGTATGTATTTTCTTCAATAACATACATTTTTGTACAAAACACTTTCACTTTCCACCTGAAAATCTTCTTTTTGTCAATTTTTTAAAAATTTTGTAGTGTACAAAAAGTTTAAAAATGTCTGTTAAAGTTTGATGCTGGAACAGAACATACTGTATGACGTCATACTGGTATGTGCAAAAGACTAAATCACCAATTCATGGAATTTTCTATTGTGAGAGTATTGACCATATAACATTTAAACATGTTAAAAGAAAAATAAGTTTAACAACTTGTGAAAAGTGGATATTGCTTGATATCAACTCTCGTTATTTAATTCTTAGTAATAACTACGAAATGTATGTTTCACTTTGTGTGAATGTTAATTATCAATGATTACATGGATTATCAAGTTTCTTGAATTCAGTCCTTACTTTTACTAACATTATCAATAGAACTGAATAAAACTGAATAGTTTATATCGATATATAAATATGTGTTAATTGCTTAAACTTTGTTAACATTTTCTTGCTGCAAATAATACACCTTATCGCTATTTGTCCGCCATTACTGCACACTGCAAAGGTTCCTGTAAATTTTGACGTCGCACTAGAAAATGTCTGATGCCACGAAGGAAAAGTGATTTGTATGTCACGTCAATAGTTCAAGTGTTGCAGATATCCAAATAGCGATAAGGTCTATCAGATGTAATTGTAATCATCAAGACATTTTATCATCATATCTACACGTGTACCATATGATGATCTATGATATATTTAGCCATGTTTACCTTATATTTACACCCTATTTACAGTACCTGATCTTGGAAATGAAACAACCCAAACATCATCTGGCCTAACTTCAAAAGTTTCAAATTTGTGCACATTATTTTCAGTAAATTGTGGCAAAACAACTCCTTTAAACTGAATGTAATGTTTGATAGGATTCCAAGCACTATCTTCAACATTCTCAATGCCTGCAAGGCGTCTCTTAATTTTTGAAGACGTTAATATTCCCATAATAACAGTGCCAAGACAAAATGTTCCAACAAATGCCTTAAGAACCCTCTTAAATCGTCCTTGGTCAGTGTTACTGCTGCAGGATCTTGTACTTCCAGTCCATGACTTAACACTAAATTTTAGCAAACATGAATTTTGATGAAAGAAAGTCCGCCTAGAATGTGTCAATCTAAAATGTAACACACAAACTGGATGTTTAATGTTCAGTCTTAAAACAGTTTTTAACGAATTTTTTAGCATATTTGCATTGCAGATTGCAAGGAACTTGTCACGAATGGGGAAAGACATGTACATATAACTGTTCGTATATTTTGTAACTGCCCCGTCTATGTGGCGCACCGCCATTATACAGACTATTATTAATCAAAGGGTCATTTAAATAAATTCTGATGTACATATAGCACCTTTAACTAACAATTATAAGAAAGTTTAATTTAAGACCACTTAAATTCTAAATTCTCATTTGTAAATATATCCAGTTCTTACTTATCTTGTTCTTACACCTCAGCACATTATGAATATTATTTTTATAATTTTATGATGGCAATCCACGGGGGGTCTCAACATGGGATTTTGGGTACAGTTGTGCAGCTGGGATTTAAAAAACACCCCCATTCATATATTGAATAATTGTGAAATCCCTACCTATACATTTATTTCACAGCGAAATCATAACCCATTCATATATTTATCAGCTCAAATAGTACCTATATATGTGTCAATAAGTTTCAGCAAATGTGGAAATTTTAATGACAAAGAGTTTGGGAAATTCAACACCCCCATTCATATATTGAATAATTGTGAAATCCCTACCTATACATTTATTTCACAGCGAAATCATAACCCATTCATATATTTATCAGCTCAAATAGTACCTATATATGTGTCAATAAGTTTCAGCAGATGTGGAAATTTTAATGACAAAGAGTTTGGGAAATTCAGTGAAGATCGCTGCACAACAAACTGAAAAATTATGACCCATTGATATATCACAATTGGTCATGCAATTACTACCTATTGATATATTTCCTCGGTAAAATTGCACCCCATTCTTCTTCTGGTAATCTTCATACACAAGAATTGCGGACAGCTCAGCTGGATGGCTTTATCAGCTACCACACAGAGCTCCGTAATCATTGAATTTTTTTTAACGTTATTGTCTATGGGGAATTATGACCACTAGCTAAATAAATGAATACTATGTCTATTTTATAAATCTCATATAAAATTAATAAATTATAGAGATCTCACCAATTTTTTAGCTTTGAAATGGTGTAATAAAATCCACCGTGTTTATCTTGATATTTACTGGTGTCCCTATCATGTTGAACGTCGGGTTCTCTTTTGGTTGAGATATGTTAAATTACGAGGTATACATATTTTATAAAAATTCATATTAAATTCATTTTTTATTGTAAATCAAATTAACAAATTATACAGTATTGGCAAATAATTTTCCTATCAAATGGTATAAGAATCGTCATTTTAAAATAATGTTTACTGTTGTCCCTAAGCATTTGAAAGTGAAACTTCATTATTTATGAATACGATGTATATTCATTCAACTAAGATTGACCGTATTCAAAGACAAATTGGTCTTGTTTTTTAGTTGAATTCTCATTTTTATGATGTGAACTTCTTTTCTAATTACATCCATCATTTCAAATATCTAGTTAGGTTTTAAACAATATATTAATTTCTATTACACCAAAGAGTTCTTTAAGGTAGTTCAGGGGTATACCGCCATCTTGAATTGTACAATCACAGTAAATAGTCGGTCTAGTTCTTTACCCAAATCTGCAAATTTGGAAACAAATTTGCAATTTATTGGTTACACTGTTTGTTTATTTTTATTAAGAAAACTTAGTTATTCATTGCATTATCGAAAATATTTGAACAAATACCAAATATTTGTGCCTTTAGAATTATTTTTCAAATAAGCCATTTAAGGGGAGATAACTCTTTCAATACAAAATTTATACTGAAAATATAGGGAAATTTTCATTTTTTACTTGTAGCACGAAAACAAGTTCGGTGACACCCTTTTTTCTTTTTATTTTCTTAAAATATATTATAAAACCTATCTGCTCATATTTTATTTCAAAATTCTGTCTCACATATTTCTTTTTATGCACAAAAATGTGTTTTTTCATGAACAGTCTAAGCAAATTTTGGCAATTTTGAACGACTCGTACCTTGAAAAATAGCGCGGTGACCCATACTTTTTATCATTTTTTTTAAAAAAGCATAGTAAAATCTTCATTTTGGCAAAGTATAAGAAAATTCTGTCATTTTTTTCTATACCCCTGAACTACCTTAAACATCAAAATTTTAAAAGTAGTGTGGTTTTGTTGACATCTTGAAGAAAAATATGCAAAAAGTGTTATTTTTTTTTCGTTTTTTTTAAAGGCTCTGTTTAATTAATCTTATTTTGATTTGAGTAATTATATTATTATTTATCAAATATTTGAATACACAATTGCATGATTGTATTATTGAAAAAAATGTCTACGAAATCTGAAAAACTAAATTGAAATAGAAAAGATGACAACGTGCAATTTTTAATGTTATTCAAAACATACAAAATTTTATACAAGTTTTGTATAATGAAAACTCTATCTTATCATTATAAGAAATGATCAGAGAAGTAAATGCAAGTATTTTGAATGTATACAGTAAGATATCATAGCATCAAAATCATTGTTAGGATATGCTATCTTTATGTTCTCATTCATACATTAATCTTATTGTTTAGTACAAGGATTTGTATAGTACTATACAAATCATTGTTTAGTATATTCATAAAATGTCGTTTAATAATACAAATGACGAAAAACATCGAGGTCTTTTTTAAGAAAAGCTCCATAATTATCGATCTCAGCTAACATATAAACACGAATGTGTCAATATTTACATATATGAAGTATATTGTTTAAGCGTCCCATGGTGCCACGGCAAATCCTTTCCGGTGCGGTATCACTATTCAATACCATATGTTACTATTTTATCTGATCATTGAAGTTGAAGTATTATATTGAAAATATAGTAGTCCATGCAAAAGAGATCGTTGGGAGACCCCTTTTTTTATTTTTTGCAGTTAATTTATAATATGAAAATACAATGTAGTCTTTTCACATCAACTTGTTTACCTTGTCTTAAGTGTTCAAACTCTTATCAATGCGATTTAACAATAATAATTTATGTATGTTGCCCTCTATTTGTATGTTTAAATGTTTAAGAGTATTCTACACATAAGAATATAGGGTAACACATATAAACTAATTTTATAAAGTAAAAAAAAAAATGAGATACGGCTGAAATATGAACGAATATTTTCAAATAAGATTAATTACAACAAAAAAATAATTATAAAATTAACTAGACAAAGTGATGCCCCGCACTTCACTCTGAAGTAACTGTATCATAACAAAGATAATGTAGAACTTTATCTGAGATTTAATTGTGTCTGGGAGAAACAAATGATGCCCCCGCAGATGCAAAGTGTTATTTTAAAATAACTTCAACTATCTCCCAAAAGATCAAATATTAAACCCTGACCACATGCTGACCTTCATTATATGTACAAACCACTAAACTTTAAGGAGAAAGTCTGCGGTTTTATTTACTGATATCTATGTCTAATTAAGGGTAGTGAATTATGTAAGTTTTATGTTCCTAGAGGACAGGAAAGTATTACAATTTAATCCACAGGTGTTAATGAGTTTACGTGTTACACATGTTACATAGATCAAATAAAATTCAGCATGGAGTATACATCTGGCTTATACAATGTCAATGTCGAATACATGTGACCTACCCATATCAAATAAAATCTAAAATTGACAGTAACAAAATGTACATCTTGTCATATTTATGATATTGCCTTCTGTAGCTTTTATTTATATGTTTATGAGATTTCAACCCTCCCTCTATACCTCTAGCCTATGGAGAATAAACAAAACACAGCAATACGCACAGTAAAACTCAGTTTAAAAGAAGTCCGAGTCCGATGTCAGAATAGATAACAAAAGTCTTTTAAGACACTAAGCAAAATGGCAATGATACATGATAAATTAACTAAAGGACTACTACAGCAATAACTGACATGCCAGCTCCACACTTCAATTGAACTGATTGAAAGATTATGTATTCGTCATATTCATAAATTGTCTATCCTTTTCCAGAATCACGTTGAAGAGTTAAATGCTATTTTTCTTTTATATAAAACATAATCTAGATAATACTCAAGCCTGCTTGAAAGCCTGTTTGATGTTGAAAGGATTTGTATATTTGATTTTCATCTAGCCCATTTAAAAAGAAATTTACAAGGATAGATCAGTTTGTCTGCGGCTTTTATTGAACTTTTTAAAATCAGAAACACCGATGATAAATTATTTGGACTATCTTAAAGCTTCCGAAAAGGTCGTGTGTAGTATAAACAGGGTTACAAATTTCATACAATAAAAAAATTTACTAGATTAAGAAAGAAAATTAAAAAAAGTATTGATCAAGAGATATACATATATTATAAATATAGGAACTAATATAACATGTAAACGTATCTCTTTTGAACCATCGTTAACAGAAAATATTCTTTCTACATCATAGGGCATGCAAAACTTTTCTTTTTTAATTATTTCTTTCCTATCGGCAATTTCTTCATCATTCATCTGTTTATAGTGTACGCGGGGTTTCTTTCTTAAATCCAACTGCGTTCGGAATTATCGTATAACAACTAATATCATAAATTACCCTATAGGCATAACGTCAAAGTGACATCTATTGGCGGGGTGCTCGTTTAGGGGAGTTATCTATTCTTATCTACTGGTCACCAGACGATGAGAACAAGATGGGAACCAGAATAGAAAAGTAACACGAGTTATCTCGCCTTGAAATGTCCGTAATTCTTGTACATGCTTCCGTCCACGTTGGGACAACCTCAAATGCGTATTATTCTGTCATCTTTATGTACAGTAATCCGTCACCATAGTAAAATCCATCACCATTTTTATATACACCATATATACACTAGCTATAGTCATCAGGGTGAAATTAGCACTAAATGTTCACGGCACACTAGCAATATATTCATTTCTCTATTAGATAAATTACATTTATCTTTTCTTAATGTCTAACGTTCTATATCTAGCTACGTGAAGAGCATAAATCAACTGTCTTGAAATATCTTCTATTCTTTGGAATAATTTGTTATCACTTGTAAAAGTAACTCGGGAAAGTAACACGGTGCAATCCAAGATAATTTG